CCTGCAATGAGTCATGGGACTGCAGCGAGCTCTCTCAGAGCCTTGGGTTTTGTAAACAGGCCGATTCTCCAGTGCTGGGCCTGGTGCCCCCAGTGCTGCAGGGAGAGAGCGAGGACAGTGAGGGAGCACATTTGTGCCCCCAAGGAGGTGATTTTCGAAGGGGGAGCGATGAGGACCACGGAGCAGGGCCAGGCGAGGCAGGGGCTGGAGGAGCTCAGTGCTGGCACCCTGGCGAGGGGCTCAGGTCTCACAAGAGGCCAGTAGGCACGGGGTGGGACTCTGCCGGGGCTTCTGCTCTTGGGCAGGGAGCGGCGGGCGTGTCTAGTAGTGGCCTGCGCCAGGGGTGACCAGCCCTCTCTCCCTTCCAGGACTACTTGGACCTGGCCGCGTCCACCCCATCTGATTCCCTGCTGTACGACGACGGCCTGTCGGAGGAGGAGATGCCCCTGGTGGACTGTAATAGCGCTCCCCTCCCTCGAACCCTCCCCTCCACGTGGATTGAAAACAAACTCTATGGTAGAATTTCACATGCATTTACTAGATTCTAGCCACGTTGTTCCTCTCTGCACTGTCCTTACTCTCTGTAATGCTTTTTAAGAGCGTTTCTGGTCTGAATGAAGCCAAAGTCTGCTCTGAACCTTTTTGTTTGTTAATGTCTGACTTTGCATCCGTTTACATTCAGGCATTTTTTACTATTATGTTTTTTTAAAAGGATGTGAAAATATGTGTAATTACCACACTGCCCAGCAACTTAGGACGATAGAGAAGAAAGAGAGCAGGGCAGAACTCTCAGGGGACATTGAGAAAACGATGACTAAGTCATTTCCTGGGTGGGTATCAAGTCATAGTGCTTCTAACTTAACTACTGGGATAAATTTACCTGATCCGGGGAGGCATTTAATTTAGAAAGGAGGAGCCAGCACCACTCTGCCCGCACTAAGAGCACAGCCAGTGGCCGCTCCCTCAGACCCTGCCTGGGTGGAAGGCAGCTCTTGGAGGCCACCTGGTGCTGGGGACCACCATGGCGGGGGGAGGGGAATGGGGGGGGACACACGCAGGCTGCTGTTTTCACATCCTTTGCGTTACAAACTGTCATGACGGTTGTCACTTACGAAGTCAGTGCAAAAAGCTGGAGCAAAATGCTTTTTGAAAGAACGTAGTCTGTGGTGCTGTGGTCTTGCGATGGACAGTAAATATGGTTCTTGCCAAAACTCCTACTTTTGTCTTCGATTCAGTACTTGAAATTTTTTCCTGTTTCCTAACTTCATCATGGATTGTTTTGAGATCTTGGGAGTTTCAAGCATTTTTCTGCCGAGATTGTTCCTTTTGCATGCCTCCTGGGTCACTGATTCCTTACTGGCTAGTGCTACTTGCCATTTGTCCTGTCGACGCTGTGGGGCTCGCCTGCGTGCACCCTTGGTTTGGAAGATTCTCCTCCGTGGTAGGCTGGGATGGAAGACAAGTAGGCTCCTTTACGTTAGAGAACTTTTTGTAGAAAGTTTCCTGCTGCAGTAAGCCATGTAGTACAGCAAGGTGCTGATGCTTTATGCTGCCTTAGAAAAAGAGTTAAACAGGTCAACAAATATTTATCAGATTTGAGAGTCTGAAGCTTATAAAAGTCCAAATTGGTAGTTTCTGGTAAGCTGCAGTTACCAGAGAGCACGTGATGTGTCCGCCCAAATGTTACCCATGTTTTGGAAACCTGGAGCACGAAACTCTGCAGGCGGTTGGCCCAGAAACCAGAAGTTTGGTTTGAACCTCAAAGGGAGTTTTGCCAAGGCCTTACTGTCTGCACATGGAGTTTGGGTTCTTCAGTGCAGAACAAATGATCTGTTTTCATTTTTAGGCATGTCAGACCCGAACTGGCCTGAAGAGAGTCCTGTACCACTCACGAGAGCCGATGGCACCAACACTGGGTGTCCAAGATATGCAAATGATAGTGTATATGCTAACTGGATGGTTTCACCCTCCGCGGCACAATTAATGGACACGTTTGATAGTTAACAGTTCTTTGTGAAAGGTAATGGACTCACAGGGGAAGAAACATACCGAGAACAGAAAGTCTGCAGGCCCCTCCTTGCACATTTCACACTGGCTGGGGATTTTCCCTCCCAGCAGACGTAGCGCTCTGGACGAGTGTTCCGAGTCCAGCACGTAGGTGTCCCTTCCTCTTCAGTCCACGGCAGCACCCAGCGCTGGTCTGGGTTACGCAGTGAGCGCCACATACTCTGTGCTCACACGTGTGGGTCCCTCACGCACCCTCCGAACTGTTTGATTTTTCCGGTTGCTGCCAAACGAGGCCACACGATTTAAACAAGAAGCACACGCACCAAAAAGGCAGCAGGAAAAAAAAAAACTGGCCCAGACGACCTGTCCTTGTTCAGAATGAGAGCCCGGCCAGGCCTCGTAGGGTTGTCAAAGCCCAGCCAGGGCTGGAGAGGGAGAGTGGACCTCGGGACAGGCCTCGACTCAGCCTTCGAGATCCTGAGAATGTTTTTTTTTTTTTTTAAATCATGGAACCTTTTCTTAGGGAGACATTTGATTTTTATCATGATTAAAACGATTCTTGGATTTAGCACAGTGGAGAGACACGATGCCGCATTTGCTGTGTAGGTAGGTGGTGTGAGGGGAGAGGGCTCCCAGGACACAGTTGTTCCCATCGCTGAGTAATCACTAACCCCCTGACGAGAAGTGTGTGGAGGAGTGGGGCCGTTGAGTGGAGTGGCCTCGTGTCCAAGGACTGCTGACCGCAGAGACTTGCTGTTAATCCCTGCACCCCACAGCCTTCAGCGTCCCCTCGTCCAGCGCTGAAAAGTGGCGGAGGCTCATCTCACACATTAGTGGGGTGGGACTTGTGCCCAGTTTCAAAGGGACAGTTCAGCAAGTTAGGTTAGAAGTAGCATCGACAGTGACACCTCTGATTACGATTCTGATGGAAAAGACAGTGTTTTGGCTCTTATAGAGCTTGTGTGAAAAGGTACATGTATCCACTCTTCCTGTGTTTGTAACGTAATGCTGCTATGGTAAGACATTTTTGTTTTTTTAGGTTCTGACCATGACTCATAAGCTTCTTGTCATTCTTCACTGCTTGTTTGTGGTCACAGACACTCAGCACTCCTCCCATCCCGCCGGGGTGGCTTTCGGGAAGTCCCGGCGGTCCTTCTTTCTGTCCTAGCGCTGTCACTTTGCAGGAGAGGGTCGGTTACCAAAACACTGCCTGGGCTTCATACTTAAACCACTGTGAAAGGACTTAATGTCGTCTCATTAAAATACTGGATTTTATAACCATTTCACAAAAGCAGTAAAATTATGGCATTTTTGTGGCCAGGAAGGCTTGGATGAGTATGTGGAGGAGCCGTGCGTGTGTGTGTGTGTGTGTGTGTGCGCGCGCACGCGCGCGCGCGTGCGCACATGCCCATGTGTGTGCACACACACCCAGGAAGAGCGCTGGAGAAACACTTACTGCAGATGCATTGCGGCTTTAGTTTGGGCCATTGTTCAGACACGCTGTGTGATACGTTCTTTTACAAATATCTAGTTGTGGTAAACTTTGGGGTTTCAGATGTGCTTAATGATAATCTTGTTAAATGCAGAAGTGGAGATAAACTTTCTCAAGTTATTAAGAATGCCTACTCAGTGTGAGTGGGTGCAGCAGGTTTGTCCTCGGAAGGGTGAGAACTCCAGGTCTTAGGCTGACCCAGTGATGGGGAATTAACCCTTGACTCATAATCTTAATTGTCTATTCCTAAGTTATAAAGGTACTCATACTTATTAGCCCTATCAGACAGAGTTTTCATATGCATATATGCAGAAATGACTAACTGTTAAGCATTACTGAGTATTAAGTAGCAATCTGTCCATTATTAAAATTTGTTAAATCTATTTATGAAAGGTTATTAAACCATACCATGTTAATTTGCTTTTGTAATCAAGGTGACTAAGAAAATAATCTCAGTTATGTAAATAAAATCGTGTATCTTAAAATGTGTAAACTTCTTTTCTCTTTTTAACTTCCTGGTTGGAAACATCAGGTTTTTGATTTTGAAGTTTCAGGGTAAGGAGTAAGTTGTCACAAGGGAATCTGTTGTGGTGACCACCGGGGAAGTGATACCGATTGAAGGACTAGGAGGTTCTTGGTGATACTGTTGACTTGTCTTGCATAATATGTACACGAACAGCCACATTTATAGTCATTGTTAAAACTCAGCTCATCCTGCCATTCAAGGAATTCCTTCCTTTAGGTTTCCTTCCTAAAATAGAGCAGCAGCCAGTGTCGAGTTCAGGTATTCTCTAACAATTTGCTGACTGCTTATTTCTTGAAGCTGGAGTTGGACAGTTGTGGGAGAGAATGTAAAGTGCATAGATATGACTGAAGGTCCATTAGAGGAAAAATTTTGACCCGAACCACTATGAAACTTAAAATACCAAATGCTTCTGTTTATATCTTCCTGTCGGGCTGTGTAGGAATGGTATGAGCTCCTCCTCAAAAACCTGGCAAGGAGCAGGTGGGTCAATAGGGAAACCTGAGTTGTTACCAACATAAATCTGATTTGTGGTTGCCTTGTGCATTGGATGCTGAGGGCCTGTGTCCTGTCCTGGGTGCACATGTGCACACACAGTCACATGCCCACATCACCCAGCTCCTGCCCTCAGCACCTGCATCTGTTCTCAGCTTCCTCCTTCAATCTGGACCACAGGGACAGGAAATAAACGTAATTTCTAGGGTCAGTTATTTGCTACAGCCTTTGCCTCTGAATGTTTAGAAACCCATGCTGAAAAAAGCTTATACTAAAATACTAAAAACCCCTTTTTCAAGAGCAGAGAACTTCCATTGGGGGGGGGGGGGGGTGGGGGAGAGAGAGAGAGAGAGAGAGAGAGAGAGAGAGTGAGTGAGAGAGTGTGTGTGTGTGTGTGTGTGTGTGTGGTTTATTTTTCTGAAAAAGCACATTCTCCACCAACCTCCACAAAGGATGGCATGAGGCCAGCTTATTTGGGTGGAAATGTAGTTTGAATATAATGTCTGAGAACAGGTCTTGGACAAATACTTAACACATAAGAGAAAGTTCAAAGGGAAAGCATAATTTCCCCCACTATAAATAGAGCATTTTCCCAGGCAGAGGAGCAAATGGTTTCCTCTCCTCCGAGCATGTTAACATGTAGGGTATTTGAATGGTGGTATTTAGGGTGGTTCTAGAAAGTGCCTAAGAAATCCTTATCTCCGTGGCCCTGGAAAAGATGTAGTAAGAGTGGGCCCAAAGGGCACATGCAGCGGTTAGGGCACACCTTCCCTTTAGCGTGAACTTGCACGTGGTGCTTACCCTCTGGGTGGGCCTGTACATCCAGAAAACACCCGCCACTGAGGCTGCCTGCCCCGCCCCGCCCCTTCTCCACGGCAGCAACCTTGGTAGTCTCATTCCGGACATTGTAGGGACTTCCCTGGCTGTCCAGTGGTTAGAACGTTGAGCTTCCACTGCAAGGGGCGCGGATTTGCTCCCTGGTTGGGGAATTAAGATCCAACACGCCGCGCTGCGCAGCCAAAAATAGAAAAAAGAACTTTGTAGAGTCGCCCACCTCTTTAGGGTACTGGGATTCACGTGAACGATTCTTGGCTGAGATCATGAGAAACCAGAACCTGTATG